TTTTTTTTTTGAGACAGAGTCACACTTTGTCGCCCTGTCTTAACTCAGCCTCCCAAGTAGCTGGGACTATAGGCATCTGCCACAATGCCTCACTATTTTTAGAGACAAGGTCTCACTCTGGCTCAGACTGGTCTCAAACCTGCGAGCTCAGGCAATCCACCTGCCTTGGCCTCCCAGAGTGCTAGGATTACTGGCGTGAGCCCCTGTGCCAGGCAGGTGTTGTCATACTATTATAAACTTCAGTGGCCTTAAAACATTTACCTAGAAAATTACCATATACCTCCATCAATGTTCTTATCTCACCTTGTATGACATTGAAGGATTTTCCTCCAAAGGTGTCATCAACACCAGATCAACACCTAACAAGAATTTCAATTGCCCTGTTAAGAACACAGAACTATATAACTTAGAAATAAAAGTTCTAACAGTGTATTTTTAGGAATCTTCTTGATTTAAAAAACCTCAAACAACTCAGAGTAGCAAGGCTATTATAGCAAAGTACTACATCTAAATATCCCTGGCAAAAGATCTCCCAGAGAGACCTGGAATTACCCCGGTAGGTGTGGCAACCAGGCAGACAGCTGGCACTGGGACTACTTATTCTTGCTTACCTGACCTTGCTTCCAACACTCCCGGAAGATCTTCCAATTGTTTTTGTTGCTGGGGTCATGGAGACACAGAAGCCTCCCATCACAGAGCCAGGAGTGAGAAGTATGGGGGTCTAGTACGTTTAACCCCATCACCATCTCCTTCACTTCCTTTTGGGTATCAGTCAAGTTGCAGGCCCGTTTTGAGGCATCTGAGGTTTTCTTGTTTTCCACCACTGAGGCAATAATGTGGTCAAGAAAGTTGGGTAGGCTGGCCTTGCTCTTCACTCCCTGCCAGACACAAACCCATCAGGTAAGCTTGACTGAGGCACCATGAGAAAAGCATTCTCAAAACTGTCTCTGCTATATGCACAGTTTTGATCTCTCTAATTCTACCAAAGTAATTAGAATAGCTTTGCAATAGGGGCTGGGGGACACTAATAAGTCAGTATCTTAAATTCCTCTATCCTTCATATCCTTCTTTTTCTTGCCTTACATTCATTAAAGGAAAATACAGAAAGATCCCTTCTGCTTCAAGAGATTTGAGACCTAAGAAATACCTCTGGCACTTAGTCCTGTATTTCGCATATGCACACAGACTATAGAGATCACAAACTGCCGTAACTGAGTGAAAAAAGATCATTTAGTTTGGGAGTTACTAAATCTTTTCTAGCCAGAAGGTCCAAGAGATATAATACTTCAATTAAATAGCTCAATGACTTGCTAAGGCAGTGGTTTTCTATCAGGGTATACAACAATAAAGGGTATACAAGAGTGTCCAAGAGGAACCAGTGTATTCTGAAAGCATTCTCCTACTTTCCAATTCTTCCCTCCCTACCATCCCATTGAGAATCTCTTAATCTGTTTCAGCTGATGGGAAAGCTCAGGCCTAGCGATGAAAGCAACACATCTAAGGTCATGGAACTGAAAGGGGGAGAGCTTTAATAAACTTAATAATTGTATGTCTAAAGTATGACTAGTCATTAGTGCGATCAAGTATGTAATCACACATCATATTGGGAAATTTAAAACAAACTGGGAATATGAGCAAATACAAATAAAATAGAGCTCAAAATAATTGTTTTGTTTGCCTTTTTTTTTTTTTTGAGACAGTATCTCACTCTGTTGTATAGGCTACAGTGCAGTGGCATGATTATATAGCTCACTATAACTTTAAACCCTTGGGCTTAAACGATCCTCCCACCTCAACTTTACAAGTAACTGGGACCACAGGCACATGTCACCATCCCCAGCTAATTAAAAAATTAAGAGATGGGGTCTCGCCATAATGTTCAGATAGGTCTTGAATTCCTGGCCTCAAGCAATCCTCCCAGCCTTGGTCTCCCAAAGCACTTGCTTTTTTAAACGTTACTTATCCAAAAGAGAACCAAATAACCCAAACTGTGCACTGCTTAGCCACACACAGTTCATCAAATTTCAGCCATTAATCATAAAATAGAAGGAGAAATATATTTATTTACTTGTTTGGAATGATCTGCATGACATAAAAAACAGAAAAGCAAGGTGTAGAATATGTGTATAAAAAGAAGGAAGACAAAAACTATAAATACATGATAATACCACTGAAGTATAGCACTCAAGAGAAAACAGTAACCTCCAGAATGGGAAACAAATGATGGGGAGATGAGGATGATAAGGAGACTTTTCATATAAACCCATTTGTATTTTTAAAGTTTTATATCCCCTGAATTCATTCAATAAATGCTTATTAGACATGACGACTATGGATTAAACTTTGTGGCACTAGGAATATACTGGTGAATAAAACAGTAAAAAATGCCTTGAGAAGAAGTGAAAGACAGAAAAGAAAACATTGTAGTTAAGTGTTATAAAAAACATAAAGCAGAGAAAATAGTGTGTCAGATGGGAGTGTAATGGACTTTTAAAAGGGTAATGTACAAAGACAGGTTTACTGAGGATGACATTTCAGGAGGGAGGAGAGGAAGGTGATGATGAAGCTAGCCATATGGTTAAATGGGAAAGAAATTTTTAGTGGATGAAACAAGTGCAAAGGCCCTAAAGAGGTAGCATACAGCATACCTGACCATGTTCAAGGAATAGCAAGGAAGACGATGGGGCTGGAACAGACTGAGTAAGAAGGAGAATAGCAGATGAAGTCACAGAGGTGAGGGGAAAGGAATAGATAAGACTAGAGCCTCCTAGTCAGGCTCTGGACTCTGCTCATCTTTAAGCACTATAAGGACTTTGCTTAAGTTATGAGAGAAATAGGAAGCCATGGGAGAATTTTAGGCAGAAGCGACATGATCTGGCTTGTATTTTAAAAGGGTCACTTTACTTTGTTGAAAATAGACTGTAGCATATAAAGGGAAGAAACAAAGGCATCTGTCAGTAATTTACTGCAAAAATTTAGGTGAGAGAGTATGTTGGCTCAGACCAGAAAGGAAGCAGTAGAGCTGAAGAGAAATAGGTGAACGTTAGGTACATTTTAAAGATTAAACTGAAAGATCTGCTCAGAAATTAGATATGAAATGTTAAGACAGGGGTGTCCTAAATGATTCTTTAAGATTTCTGATACAAGTAACTGGAAGGATAGAAATGCTACTAACCAAAAGAAAAAACTAAGGAGGCACAGGCTTAGGGGCAGAAGATCAGTTCAGTTTCAGATGTGTTAAAAGTTTGAGATGACTATTATATAACCAAGAGAATACAGTATGAATGCATTGACTATGTAAAAAAATTGTTCACTACTTAAAAGGATCTCAAACATTCCCAAAACTTAACGCAAAAGAGAATCTTGTCAGCTTGACGGATAATGTAGAGAACACAAATCATCATATACCCTCTAACACAATTATCATCAGATCTCTGATGGCTGTCTAGTGGAAAAGCAGCAAAGGCTAGAGTTGTAGATAGGACACTTACTGCTGAGGATGCAGAGAAGACCGGGGGGAAGGGTATGCCTGTGTCCAAGGGGGTTTGAGGAAGCTTTCCAGGCCCGGAGTGAAGGAGGTCTCGAAGGCTAGAGCCTTCGGTTTTGTTGTTGGAGGCAGTGGGACCCAGTAACAGACTGTTAAAAAGCTTTGGAGTCAATGGAGAGATCTTTGCAGTGGAGTTGAATGAGTCCAGCCCAAAGGGTGAATGAGACTCTTTACTGAGCACCGACCTCAGGGACCCTGCTTCTGTAAGAACATAACCAGGAATAGCATTAGGCATGATATGGAATATTCCACAGACAAGTGACTCCTAAAAATCAACCAAGTCGGAAGGAGGAAAGACTCTCTCCTTTCCCCTGCCCCCCAAACTATGTATGGTTTGTCTGGGTGAAGCCTGATAAGCTATGAATATAGGTCTTATGGCCAAGGAGGAACTCTCTTACCTCTTCCTTTCTTTTCCTGATCTGGATTTCAAACTCCTTTTGTTTCCATCCATCTTTTGTCTCCTTCTCTTTCTAAGATAGTGTTCTCAAGTAGGTCTCCAGAACACTTCTATTTAAATCACCTGAAGTGCTTTTTAAAAACGGAGATTGTTGGTCTTACCTCAAGAGATTGTGATTGTATAGTTTTGGGTGAGGCATGTGAATCTGCATTTTTCACAGGTCCCCAGGGGGGACTCTTGTGCACATTGAAAATTGTTGCTCTAAGTCTAGCTCTCAACCCTAGCTATGTAACAGAACCATCTGAGAAGTCTGTTAGAAACTTAGTATGAATCCTGACTAAGGAGGCCTAGGTTAGGGCCCAGGCACTTGCTTTTCTAAAAAAGCTCTACTTCTAGAAAGAAATTCCCTCATTTCATGTGAGCAGCCAGAAAAAGGAGTGGCATGTTTCATAAATGTGGAAGGTAATGTGTGTTCAAAGAATCCCAGAATAACTCATGAGTTCCAGAACCGGCAAGCTTATGTTCATCTCACCTTTTGTTTCTTCTTTAGCCTTCTGAGTTGCTAAATCAGCCAACCAGTGCAGGGCAGAGGAGGGTTGGGCTGTATCAGGACAAGGAGGCCTAATGGCTTTTAGCTCACTATTGCTATTTGATGCTGAACTGTCTGCTTTCAGAGGCTCTTCAGTTCTGATGTCAGTGCTGTCAGCTTTGGGAACATGGTCGGGCCCTGGAGTTGTTATTGTTGCAGTTCCTCCTCCACCTGAGAAGGCAGTTTCATTTCCAGAAGAGGCACTAGGGTTTATGCTAGGAAGCTGAAACACAGAAGGCCAGCATGGTTAGGGTTCTTTCCTTGGGTAGGAAAAACGAACAAATCACAATTATAATGGCTTCAGACACTAAACGTGTCTGGGAAGAATAATCTGAAACTGTTCTGTACACTACTCTTCCATCCATTCTTTTCTTCTTATTTTTTATTTTTGAGACAGAGTCTCATTATGTTGCCCTTGGTAGAGTGCCATGGTGTCACAGCTCACAGCAACCTTAAACTCTTGGGCTTAAGCGATTCTCTTGCCTCAGCTTCTCAAGTAGCTAGGACTATAGGCGCCTGCTATAACGCCTGGCTATATTTTTGTTGTAGATGTCATTGTTGTTTGGCAGGCCTGAGCTGGGTTTGAACCCGCCAGCCCTGGTGTATGTGGCTGGTGCCCTAACCACTGAGCATAGCACCAAGCCTATTCCATTCATTCTTTAGTTCAACATGTATTTACTGAGTCCCAAAACATGCCAGAAACCATGCCTGGGTCTACAGAAAGAGCCCTAGAAAAAATTTGAAGTTTATAATCTAAAATAAAGATGTAATATGCTTGATACACTTTCTGCAATGGCAAACTAGTGATTAAAATTTGACCTCATAGAGGTCAAGAGGTCTGAAAATTTAAACAGTACATGCAAAGGGCTTAAGCATAGTTCAGGTACATGTAAATAAATGCTCAATAAATATTTATTATTTAATTACTAATTTTTCCAAATGATTTGCTCTATTTAGAGTATTTGCATACTTTATATGTCACCTTTACTAAAATATATATCCCAGGGTTGGGTGCAGTGGCTCATGCCTATAATCCCAGAATTTTGAGAGGCCAAGGCCAGGTGGATTGCCTGAGTTGACAGGTTTGAGACCAGCCTGAGCCAGGAGACCTGTCTCTAAAAGTAGCCAAGTGATGTGGGGGGGGACATCTGTAGTTCTAACTACTTGGAAGGCTGAGGCAAAAGAATCAATTGAAGCTTGATGCCTGTGGCTCAAGCAGCTAAGGCACCAGCCACATATACCTGAGCTGGCAAGTTCAAATCCAGCCCAGGCCCACCAAACAACAATGATGGCTGCAACCAAAAAATAGCTGGGCATTGTGGCGGGCACCAGTAGTCCAGCCACTTGGGAGGTGGAAGCAGGAGAATTGCTTGAGAGCCTAGGATTTGGATGTTGCTATGATGCCATGGCACTCTACCCAGGGTGACAGCTTGAGGCTCCATCTCAAAACAAACAAATGAACAACAACAACAAAAAAGAGAGAATCACTTGAGCTCAAGAGTTTGAGGTTGCTGTGAGATGTGATGCCAGAGCACTCTACCGAAGGTGACAAAGTGAGACTGTCTCAAAAAAAAAAAGAAGAAGAAGAAGAAGAAGAAGAAGAAGAAGAAGAAAACCACTATCTCTGAACTCAGCATGCAAATCTTCAAATTTCTGTCAACTCCGAGGTATACATCTTGACAAAAGGCAAAGAATATGTTTGTGGTATTTATCAACAAAGTGTGAATTTGTTTAAAGATGAATGAAGAGAAACCATACTAGTCAAGAAAAAAAATCTTTTGAATAAATTTTTTTGGGCTCCCTCTAGAAAGGCTTCCCCATCCTTTAATTTCCCAGGAATCCTATAATAGCTTGGGACAAGACAGTTGAAAATAGGGCATTTGCTGGTACAAAGAATTTAAGCTGCACTCAGTTATACTCACACACACACCACATTACCTGAGACATCCCATTAGTGACAGCAGGTCTCAACACAGATTTATTCTGTCGACTAATACAAGGGCAGTTTGCTTTAATTCCCCACTTCCCCCGGGCAGCATGTACCATGTCTCCAATATTGTAAAGAGCTGGGGGGGAGGGGGAAATAACAATAACAATTAACATCATAGCATTTGTACATGCCACATACTGTGCTAAAAACATTCTTTACATTGTATCTCCCTAAATCTTTACCACATTTCAGTGAGGTAACTGCTTTGCTCAAGTAAATAAAGTAGGTAAATAAAAGTACTGACTTTAACCTGGTTTATCTGACCCTGGAGTTCTGTGTACTCTGAGTGACTAAGCTGTAGTCTCTCCCTTCTTTAGTAAAGATCAATAAGGTAGGCCGGACATGGTGGCTCCCATCTGTAATCCTAGCACTCTGGGAGGCCAAGGTGGGTGGACTGCTTGAGCTTAGGAGTTCGAGACCAGCCTGGAGCAAAAGCAAGACCCCCATCTCTACTAAAAAATAGAAAAACTGAGGCAAGAGGATCACTTCAGCCCAAGAGTTGGAGATTACTGTGAGCTATGATGCCATGGCTCTACCCAGGGCGACAGCTTGAGACTGCCTCCAAAAAAAGATCAACAAGGTATCCACCAAGATAAACTCTAGGGGTAGATTCCTTAATGTTTAAGTGTTAACATTTTGCAGTTTTTTTTTTGGCTGGGACTGGGTTTGAACCTGCCACCTCCGGCATATGAGGCTGGTGCCCTACTCTTTTGAGCCACAGGCACCACCCTAAGTGTTAACATTTTGAATCATGTACTTTACACTGTAAGTTATATGAGAAAAAACATAAACAAAACAAAATAGATCAATGTAAACTTTGATGGGTAAACATTTAAATATACTTTAACCAGCAGGGAGCAAGCATCCTACCCCTGTACTCAAGAAGCCCTCTGGTTTAGAAGCAAGGGGATGCTCACCTAAAGCATTTCTTTTTTTTTTTTTTTTTTTAATACAGAGTTTTAAGCTGTCACCCTGGGTAAGTGCCATGGCATAAGAGCTCACAGAAGCCTCTAACTCTTGGGCTCAAGCAATCCTCTTGTCTCAAGTTTTTCTATTTCTGGTAGAGATGGGGGTCTTGATTTTGCTTAGGCTGGTCTCTAACTCAGGAGTTCAAGCAATCCAATAGCCTTGGCCTCCCAGAATGCTAGTATTATAGGCTTGAGCCACTGAGCCCAGCCAAACTTTTCTTTCTTGTTTTTTTTTTTTTTTTCGAGAACAGGGTCTCACTCTGTCATCCAGGAAGGAGTAGTACAGAGGTGTAATCACAGCACACAGTAACCTTGAATTTCTGGACTTCAGTGACCCTCCTGCCTCAGCCTCCTAAGTAGCTTGGATTATAGGTATGTGCCACCATGGCTGGCTAATCTTTTAATTTTTAATTTTGTAGAGACAGCTCCAAAAGTTATCTTAAGTGGATGAGAATATAGACAGTAGTTTTGCAGATTCACCATCTGCAATGCATGTATGTTAAAGGAAGTATAGAGGTGAGGCATACAGAAACTTCTAGACAAATCAATGAAGTAAGATGGGATGATACAAATACGACCACTTGTTGCTACTGTTAAGATATCTGCCATTATTACAGAGCCTTCAGTTGGAATTTTTTTTTTTTTTGGCTGGGGCTGGGTTTGAACCCGCCACCTTGGGCATATGGGGCCAGCGCCCTACTCCTTCAGCCACAGGTGCTGCCCCCTTCAGCTGGATTTTTATAAGCTGAAAACCAGAGATCTTTCTGGAATACTAGAAACGGGCTTTTCTATTTTGGTCCAGCTAACCATAGGGATGTGAAATAATACTTAGAAACTTGAACTGCTACTTTGACCAGAAAGGAGTAGAGTGTGCATTAGCCACAGACACTGTAACATGCATGTAAAGATACAAATTTTTAGCTGACTGTACTAGCTCACACCTATAATCCTAACACTTTGGGAGGCCAAGGTGGGTGGATTGCCTGAGCTCAGGAGTTTGAGACTAGCCTGAATAAGACCCTCCCCATCTCTACTAACAATAGAAAAACTAGCTGGGATTGTGGCAGGCTCTTACAGTCCCAGCTACTCAGGAAGATGTGGCAAGAGGATCACTTGAGCTCTAGAGTTTGAAGATGCTGTGAGCTATGATGTCACAACACTCTACCAAGGGCTATAGAGTGAGACTCAGTCTCAAAACAAAAGAAAACTAACAAAACAAGTGAATAAAAAACCCCCAAAGATATAAATTTTCAGAGAAAGCTGGTGAAACTCAACTTAAATCTTCTTGCCTCAACCTCCCAAGTAGCTGGGACTAACAGCCATGTGCCACCAAGCCTTGCTAGTTTTTTCTATTTTTAGTAGAGATGGGGAGGGTCTTATTCAGGCTGGTCTTGAACTCCTGAGCTCAAGCAATCCACCCACTTCCGATTTCTAGAGTACTAGGAGTACAGGCACTTGAGAATTTTTTTTTTTTAAGAGACAGTGAGGCCAGATACAGTGGCTTTCATCTATAATCTTAGTACTCTGAGAGGCTGAGGTGGATGGATTGCCTGAGCTCAGGAGTTGGAGACCAGCCTGAACAATGGTGACATGCCATCTCTACTAAAAATAGAAAAACTGAGTCAAGAGGATCGCTTGAGTCCAAGAACTTGAGGTTGCTGTGAGCTATAATGCCACAAAACTCTAGTCAGAGAACCAGAATGAGACTCTATCTCAAAAAAAAAAAAAAAAGAGAGAGAGAGACAGGGTTTCGTTCTGTCACTCTGCCTGGACTGCAGTGGCACAATCACAGCTCCCTGCAGCCACAAACTCTTGGGCTCAAGGGATCCTTCTGCCTCAGCCTGAGTAGCTGAGACTACAGGTGAGCACCACAATACCTGGCTAATATTTATATATTTTTTATTGTAGAGATGAGATCTGTTGCCAAGGCTATAAAAAATTTTATTGTATGTGAATATCTCAACTAAAAACGTTTTCTAAGACCAGGCACAGTGGCTCACGCATATAATCCCAGCACTCTGGGAGGCGGAGGCAGTGGATTGCCTGAGCTTAGGAGGCGGAGGCGGGTGGACTGCCTGAGCTTACAGGTTCAGGACCAGCCTGAGCAAGTGGGAGAACTCATCTCTAAAATAGCTGGGTGTGGCTCGGTGTCTGTAGCTCAGCAGCTAGTTCGCCAGCCATATACACTGGAGCTGGCGGGTTTGAATCTAGCCCAGGCCTGCCAACCAATTACAACTACAACCAAAAAACAGCTAGGCACTGTGAGGGGTGCCTATAGTCCCACCTACTTGGGAGGCTGAGGCAAGAGAATCACTTAAGCCCAAGAGTTTAAGGTTGCTGTGAGCTGTGACGCTATAGCATACTACCAAGGGTGACAAAGTGAGACTTTGTCTCAAAAAAAAAAAAAAGCTGGGCATTGTGGCGGGTGCCTATAGTCCTAGCTACTCAGGAGGCTGAGGCAAGAGAATTGCTTTCACCCAAGAGTTGGAGGTTGCTGTGAGCTGTGAGACCACAGCACTCTACTGAGGGTAATATAGTAAGACTCTGCCTCAATAAAAAATAAAAAACAAACAAACAAATAAATAAAATAAAAACACTGGAAAAAGGCATTTCCTTACCTGTGCCAGGGATGATCTGTGTAGGCATGAGATTCTCTGGTTCATGGGACTGTCCTTTTGCACACTTCAACCAGGAGAAAACCTCTTCATCACCTATTTCCTCTGTCTCTGAAATAGAAATGAATGATTTTACTTATTTTATAAGGGTCACAAGATGGATCTCGTTCCGTGAGCTGAGGTTTCAGAACCCTGTAGGATAGTTTTCTCATGGCCAAAAAAGAAAACAGCTAACTTTTTAGAAATCTGCTTTACTGAGGTATAATTTACATATATAATTCAATTAAAAATGTTTATACCTCAATAGGTTTAGAGAAACATATTCAACTTTATCAACACTACCACAATCACTACATAAAACATTTGTACCCAAACTTCTAACAGTTTACTTGAGTCAATGCCCTTCCTTCAACTTGTGGCCACTAGTGATCAATTTTCTAATGCTAAAGTTTTGCTTTTTTAGAATTTCATATAAATGGAAGCAAATAGAATGCAGTCATTTGTGTTGGGTTTCTTTCACTTAGAATAATGCTTTTGAGACTGATCTATATATAGTATTGCATGTGACAATAATTTATTCCTTTTTATGGATGAGTAGTAGTATTCCATGGTATGGATATACCATACTTAGTTTACTTATTCATCAGCTGGTGACCATTTGGATTGTTTCCTATTTTTTTTTTTTTTTTTGAGACAGGGACAGAGTCTTTGTCACCTTGGGTAGAGGGCTGTGGCATGATAGTTCACAAGGACCTCAAACTCTTGGGCTCAGACAATCCTCTTGCCTCAGCCTGGCAAGTAGCTGAGACTACAGGTACCTGCCACAACCACCAACTAGTTTTTCTATTGTTAGTAGAGACGGGGTCTGGCTCTTGCTCAGGCTGGTCTTGAACTCCTGAGCTCACAAAATCCACCTGCCTTGGCTTCCCAGAGGGCTAAGATCACAGGTGTGAGACACCTTACTCAGCCTGTTTCCTATTTTTGGCTATTATGAATAAAGCTGCTGTAAATATTCATGTACAAGTCTTTCAATGTACATGTTTTCATTTCTCTAAATACTTAGGATTGCTGGGTTACATAGTAAATTTCAACTTATAAGGAAATGATCTTGTTTTTCAAAGTAATGTTACCAATCTGCATTCCTATCAAGTACTTGATACTATAAGTTTTTAAAAATTTCAGCCATTCAGGGTGGTGCCTGTAGCTCAAAGGAGTAAGGCGCCAGTCCCATATGCTGGAGGTGGCGGGTTCAAACCCAGCCCTGGCCAAAAAATAACTAAAAAACAAACAAAAAAAAATGTCAGCCATTCTAGTCAACATAATGATTTCTCATTATGGTTTTAATTTGCATTTCCTTAATGAATAATAATTTTTTTTTCCAGTAGAGACAGGGTCTTCTTATCTTGCCCAGGTTGGCCTTAAACTCCTGGTCCCAAGTAATCCTCCCACTTTAACCTTCCCAAAGTGCTGGGATAAAAGGCATGAACTATGCCAAGCTCAATGATAATTTTTCTTTCATGTGCTTATCTGCCACTGATCATATCTTTGTTAATGAAATATTTGTTCAAACCTCTGCCCATTTAAAAACTGGCTTGGTTGTCTTTTTATTATTGAGTTATAAGAGGCTTTATTTAGAGATAAAAGAGATCTTTTATCTAGAGAAAGATCTAGGGATAAAAGAATTCTAGCAAATATGTGATTAGCAAATCTTTTTTCCTAATCTGTAGCCAGTCTTTTCTTTCTTTCTTTCTTTTTTTTATAATTTTTAATTTGTTTTTGCAGTTTTTGGCTGGGGCTGGGTTTGAACCCACCTCTGGCATATGGGGCTGGTGCCCTACTCCTTTGAGCCACAGGCGCCACTCTAGTCTTTTTATTTTTTTAACAGTGCCTTTGGGAGACAGAGGTGGGTGGACTGCCTGAGCCAGAGCCGAGACCCTGTCTCTAAAAACAGCCAGGTGTTGTAGTGGGTGCCTGTAGTCCCAGCTACTCAGGAGGCCGAGATAAGAGAATCGCCTGGGCCCAAGAGTTTGAGGTTGCTGTGAGCTAATATATGACAGCACTCTACCAAGGGTGACAAAGTGAGACTCTGTCTCAAAACAAAACAAACCAAACAACAAAAAAAAAAACAGTGCATTTTAGCTGGGTACGGTGGCTCATGCCTGTAATCCTAGCATTTTGGGAGGCTGAGGCAGGTGGATTGCTTAATATCAGGAGTTCGAGGTCAGCCTGAGCAAGAACAAAACTCCTCTCTCTACTCAAATTAGAAAAACAGGCCGGCATCATGGCAGGTGCCTGTAGTCCCAGCTACTCTGGAGGCTGAGACAAGAGGATGGCTTGGGCCCAAGAGTTTGTGGTTGCTGTGAGCTATGACATTACTGTACTCTACTGAGGGTAATAGAATGAGGCTGTGTTTCAAAGTAACTTCCCCGCAAAAAAATCCCAGTGCATTTTGAAGAGCTAATTTTCTTTTTGTTAGAGAAATGGGGTTTCCCTCTATTGCCTAGGCTGGAGTTTCATGGCATAATCATAGTTGAAGAACTAAGGATTTAAAATTTGATATCAAGGCAGTGCCTGTGGCTCAGTGAGTAGGGCACTGGCCCCACATACCAAGGGTGGCGGGTTTGAACCTGGCCTCCACCAAACTGCAACAAAAAAATAGCAGGGCATTGTTGTGGGTGCCTGTAGTCCCAGCTACTTGGGAGGCTGAGGCAAGAGAACCTCCTAAGCCCAAGAGCTGGAGGTTGCTGTGATCTGTGATGCCACGGCACTCTACCAAGAGTGACAAAGTGAGACTCTGTCTCTAAAACAAAAACAAACAAAAAAAATTTGCTATCGGTTTGGGGGTGGTAGCTCATGCTTCTAATCCTAGCACTTTCAGAGGCTAAGATGGGAGGAACATGTAAAGCCAGGAGTTGGAGACCACCTGGGAACAGCAAGACTCTTTATCAATACCAAAAAATTCAAAAAATTAGCCAGGAGGGGTGCACAAGCCTTTAGTCCCAGCTACTCGGGAAGCTGAGGCAGGAGGAGCACTTGAGCCCTCCTTGTGGTTGCTGTGAGCTATGATGTCTAGCCTGAAGCCTAAGCAATGGAGTGAGACTTTGTCTCCAAAAAAAAAGTACTAGCCCAGCGTTGTGGTAGGCTCCTATAGCCCCAGCTTCTTCGGAGCTGAGGCAAGGAGAATGCTTGAGTTCAGCACTTTGAGGTTGCTATGAGCTATGATGTGACAGTACTCTATTCAGGGGATTGAGTGAGACGCTGTCTCAAAAAAAAAAAAAAAAAAACAGGCCAGGCATGGTGGTTCACATCTGTAATCCTAGCACTCTAGGAGGCTGAGGAGGGTGGATTGCTTGAGGTCAGGAGTTTGAGATCAGCCTGAGCAAAAGCGAGACCTCATCTCTACTAAAAATAGAAAAACAGAAAATCTGAGGCAAGAGGATCACTTGAGCCCAAGAGTTGGAGGTTGTTGTGAGCTACGACATCATAGCACTCTACCCAGGGTGACAGCTCGAGACCGTCTCAAAAAAAAAGAACAAGAAAAAAAGCATATTAGTTTGTTTTTCTTTGGCTTTTTGTGTCTATCTAAGAAATATCTGTCTAGTGCATGGACATAAAGATTTTCTATTTTTTCTAGAAATTTTAGGTTGGTTACGAAACATAAAATACTAAAAGAAATGCTAACAGAGTTAGTGTATAGTATGAAATAAAGACAGAGGTTCATTTTTTGTCTTTGCTTGTGAATACATAATTGTTCTGATATCATCTGTTGGAAAAACTATTCTTCCCCCATTGAATTGCTTTGGCACTTCTACAAAAATAAAAAATCAATTAACTGTTTATGTGAGGGATTACTTGTAGACTCTCTCATGTGTTCAATTACTGAAGAGTCCTGCTGACTACAGCTTTATTTATTTTTTATTTTATTTTATTTTATTTTTTTTTTTTTTGAGACAGAGCCTCAAGCTGTCCCCCTGGGCAGAGTGCCGTGACATTACAGCTCACAGCAACCTCCAACTCCTGGGCTCAAGCGAGTCTCCTGCCTCTGCCTCCCAAGTAGCTGGGACCACAGGCGCCTGCCACAACGCCCGGCTATTTTTTTTTTGGTTGCAGCCGTCATTGTTGTTTTGGCGGGTCCGGGCTGGGGATTCGAACCCACCACCTTAGGTGTACGTGGCTGGCGCCTTAGCCGGTTGAGCTATAGGCGCCGAGCCATATTTTATTTTATTTTTAAGACAGAGTCTCACTTTGTTGCCCTGGGTAGAGTGCCATGGCGTCACAGCTCACAGCAACCACAAACTCTTGGGCTGTAGCAATTCTCTTGCCTCAAGCCTCCCAAATGGCTGGGACTACAGGTGCCCACCACAACGCCCGGCTATTTTTTTTTTTTTTTTTTTTGGTAGAGACAGTCTCACTTTATCACTCTGGGTAGAGGGCCGTAGTATCATAGCTCACGGCAACCTCCAAACCTGGGCTTAGGCTATTCTCTTGCCTCAGCCTCCAAGTAGTTGGGACTACAGGCGCCTGCCACAACGCCTGGGCTTAGGCTATTCTCTTGCCTCAGCCTCCAAGTAGTTGGGACTACAGGTGCCTGCCACAACGCCTGGCTATTTTTTTGTTGCAGTTCATCCAGGGCTGCGTTTGAACCTGCCACCCTTGGTATATGGGGCCGGCACCCTACCCACTGAGCCACAGGCGCCACCTATGCCTGGCTATTTTTAGAGATGAGGTCCTGCTCTGGCTTAGGCTGGTCTCAAATCCGTGAGCTTGGGCAATCCACCTGCCTCGGTCTCCCAGAATGCTAGGATTACAGGCGTGAGCCACTACACCCGGCCCTGACTATAGCTTTATGTTAGGTTGTGAAATAAAGTAGTAGCAGTCTAACTTAGTACACTATTTTGTTTCAGAATTGGTTTGGTTATCTAAGGTTCTTTGCATTTTAAACATTGGATCTTCTTTTTCTGAGATAGAGTCTCACTCTGTCACCCTGGGTAGAGTGCTATGGTATCATAGCTCACAGCAATCTCCAACTCTTGGGCTTCAGCAATCCTCTGGCCTCAGCCTACTGAGTAGCTGGGACTACAGGCCTATACCTCTACATCTACCTAGTTTACTTTTAGTAGAGACAGAGTTTCACT